TAATAATAATATTAATATAATATAATAATAATATTAATATAATAATATAATAATAAAATACTTTATTAATATAAATACTTTATTAATATAATAATATAATAATAAAATACTTTTAATGAAAAAAATTATTTATGAAATTTTTCTGGCTTGTAAATTATTTTAAATATCATTTATCTGAAAATTTATAAAATTGATTACGCCAAGTTTTTTAATTAATTATTTTAAATTTTATTTTATATTATTTTAAAATTTTTAATTTTTGATTAAATTTTTGAATTTAAATATTAAATGAAAATAATTAGCTTATTATTAATTTAAACAGAAATCGGATAATTAAGACGATTATATAAAAACTCAATAGCATTATTAATATTAAAATTCATTAATTTTCATAAAATATTGCAAAGATAATCATTAATATTCTCATAATTTGACTATTTAACTTCCATTCGTAAACTGGGATTGGGGAAATAATTTCACTGATATCGACAAAGACATTACAATAGTCGAATGTGTCTATATATATATGTGTGATAATAATCGTAAGTACATAAAGTCTCTAATACTGAAGATTTTGAGACATAATAAAAAACAAGATTCAATGTATAATATGTATCTATAATTATATGTATCTATACAGAGTGTTCGAAAATTCAATTTGGGGCCGGAAACGTGTCATTATCTTGCTACGGCATACGAAGTGTTCGAAAGAGTCGGGACCTCGAAATATCACAAAAAATAAAGTTTTACAAAAAATTGTTTCAAACAAAAGTTGTAGGGTGTAAAAAGGTTTACTGGCATCATGTGTTTGCCCTTGGATGGCGTCGCCAAGATCACGACAAGGCCATCTTGAATTTTTGAAATGGAACCCTCCACTTTTTATTACATATTCTCTTGTAGCCCTTCTCGAGACCTTTTCAAAACACTAATTTTATCAACTTTAAGTAAGCCGTTTCGAAGTTATTGAAGTTATCGAGCTTTTCATGGTAAGATGTCTCGCCGACGAGGGTAAGAGATCTAAACATAAATTCGATTTCCAAATTAGAAGATGATCTAGCCAATCAGTAAATAGACCTTTTTACACCTTACAACTTTTGTTTGTTGAAACAATTTTTGTAAAACTTCTATTTTTTGTGATATTTCAAGATCCTGACTCTTTCGAACACTCTTTATGCCGTAGCGATGTAATGACACGTTTCTGACCTCAGGTTCATTTGCAAAAAATGATTCTTATGGTGCTCCCGACAATCTCTGAAAATTTGTCGATTGAATTTCCGAACACCCTGTATATGTATCTATAATATTTTTTGTATCTATAATTGTTTACATTATATCTATGCGATCTACGTATTTTTTCTAAATTGTTTCTATGTGTCTATTTATCTGATATGAAATGTAATATCGGGTTAGTGTATGTCAAATATATTAAAAAATCTGGCATTTTTAAATGGAAAAAAACCCATACTATACTAAAAAAATCTTAATTGAAAAGTACTGGAATGCACAGAATTAATTACAGATTTTTAGGAACATCGAATTTTTGTAATAACGAAGATACTTTAATATTAAAACATTACACAAAATACCATTACGTTTGCACATTTTACTATAACATCAATTAACTTTATGACTTCGTGAATCTGTACAGGTTCATACAGTTTAATGAGATAATTGGCTAAAATGCATTAATCAATTTCAATGAGAATTGATTTGGTCATATAACAATATGAATCGTATCAATTTCTATAGATACATCGACATTCGTGCGAATTCAAATACGATCATATAAATTTCTCTTATTTACATTCATTTACATTTGAAACTATCTGTGCATTTCATAAATAATGATGAAATATTTGTCATTTTTCTTATATTAATTTCTGATATATAATATCAGTTTTACGTATTTTATATCATTAAAAATAAACAATTTCTTCTCAATGTTATTGAGAACTTCATATCACATTTCAATTTGTAACTTTAATATAAATGTTGTATTAGAATAAAAATTAGTACAATAAAAAAAAGAATACTTTTTATATTAGTTATATATATATATATATATATATATATATATATATATATATATGTACATTTTATATCGTTCATAATAAGATAATTGCGTGATAATTCATTAATTTATTGCTAGTAATTATCTTACGCATAATGAAATTTATATATATATATATATATATACATAAGAAGAAATCTAATTTTTATTTATAAGATATTACTTATTTAGATATTATTTATAAAATTATTAAAGGAATTAAATAAATAAAATTATTAAAGGAATTAAATAAAAGAAAAATATGACTTGAAATATGATTTTGACCACATAATTATGTGGATGATACGAAAAAACAACAACAGTAATTTTATGTTCGAAATGCCTAATAGTGATTCTAAAGAGGCCGAATCATAGCAATAAGGTAATTACTTCGTGTCGAACATAAATCTCAAGTAACGATGAAACGTGTTAACTTCCGCTAATAGCATTAATTAGAATACTTCTGCGGGCATACGCGTTAATGCAAATTGTATATCTTGCAATTAAGGCAATTCTTTTAGTTTACTTTTTGAATGTACTTTATTACTATTATACTTTATTACTAATTATGCTGCCCTTATATCATTATTTTCTCACTTTTTATACCTAATAAAGAATAGTAAGTCATTAATTACTTGGATGGATTTGAAAGCTCTAAGTTATTAAATTATTAATTTATTTTGTTATCTTCTTCATTCCCTTCTTGCCCGCCTACCAATTCTATAGGAATATTTATTTGTTCCGATCAATCAACCGATTATCTTTTCTTTCATATTGTCAGATGTAAATTAATTAATTTAATCAATCATATATCATAATTAGTAAATTATTTATAGAATAATTTATTTGTTTCACACACGTTTAATCACTTAAAATAGCATGTGCATGCATCAGTATAATTTACTGTATAATATATTAATAATTAAATTATTATAGTTGAATTTGCTATGTAATTAATAACATATTTATATAATTAATAACATATACACACATACATTGCATTGCAAAATTTCGAAATGTAACATATTTCTAAGATTATTATATATCTATAAAACTATCATTTTTTTATATATAGATATCATATAACATATTAATAATGAAAATTCTTTATAGCAATGATAAAACCAAAGTATATTATTAAAATATATTACGTTTTGTAATTTAAATGCACTCATATATATAATATTTATGTCATATAAAATATTTTATATTTCTTGTATCTAATTGAATATAAATAAAGAATATAGATAATGTAACAAATATTGCCAATCCATATAATTATTTAATTATTATAATATGTCCATTATGTTTTAAATTTAATGTTCATTAAATGTAAAACAATAAATTTAATTAATAACTCAATAAATTTAATTCAATAATTCAATAAATTTAATTAATAATATATATAAGCACAAATTACGTACACTCAAAACTTTATACTCTTTATATTAAATGTTATCCATTCTTTTGTAATTATTTCAATATATATTTTTAATTTCTACTTTTTTCTATAATAAAATATTCATTGTATGTGTGTTTTCTTAATATAATCCCTTTCTCAAAAAGCTTAAAAATATTTTTTTTTAAATATCATAGGTAACATATTTTTTTTACATTTCAAGTATTATGATCATTTGTTAATATCAAGAACTTCCCTGCGTAGGCGTGCGTCAGTATACATACAACGGCTTTAGTTAGCCGTGCAAGACCGTAATTAATTTTAATGATCTCCCAGCACGACAATGGCACCCAATGCCTTTCTATCTATCCCTCTATTTTCCTCGTACTAGGACACGCCTGTTGTAATTTGGAAAGAAGGAGTGAATTGAATTTCAAACTGCATGACGTCATTATGCAAACTTTAAGAATTTACGAGCTTTAAAAATTATGGTATATTTTAATTTATGTGCCGAAATAATCAGGATTATTATTGAATATGGAAAGACGAGCGATATCTTACGCATTATATGCCTACAATAATGATTTCAGTTAACGTATTAACAATCACAGGAACGCTAGGATTTTCTGAACACAGACCAGACTAACTAAAACCAAAATAGTCGCATTTGTGTTTAGCTCACACGCGTAGATATTTTAACAAGGTTTGATAGAAACGTTATGGATATGCCAAATGATATAATTATTATCGCCGGTTCTATCAGAGAAGTAAATGAAGAAAAAAAATTCCTTCGGTTGTCGGCTAATTATTATCGTCGTTATCTGTATATGACCATAATTTTATACCTATTTACGTTTGTTAGATCATTTATAATCGTCAAGATGTTACGATCGTTTATTATGTGTCATATTTGCTTTAACTAATATAATGGCAAGTCATCAATTAATTAAAATAAATTGATTAACATTTTTAATAATATTATATATAATATTACTTATAATAAAATTTATAATACATTTATAATAAAATTTATAATAAATTTATAATAAAATAAAATTGATTAAATATTTACTTATACATTTTTCATTATATACTTTCACTTCATTGTATCTTCTTATACACTTTGTTATAATTGCTCGATAACTTTGTTTATATCAGTCAAAGCAAAGCATTTTTTAATGTCATATTACATAAATGGATGGACTATTAAAAATGGACAAAAAATTAGAATAAAATCAGTGCATTATAAGAATAAATGATTTCAATTACATGTAATATTAATAAAATTACTAGCGCGTTTTTTACAAATAAAATAAGTAAAATCTGAATTATAAATATTTTTTTAAATATTTCTTATTTTACATTAATGTTTTAATATGCACTTGTAATATGCTTTAATGCATATTGAAGGAATCAAAAGTTATAGAGTCTGATTTGTTTTAGGCCATCCATTTTAAGATAACGAATTTATCTATAATTTATAATCTACGATCTACATCTACAATCTCCATAAATCCGTTACCTCAAAATAAAATTAAAGTTTGTTACTCACCGACCGATTCGCAGTGGAATTGATTCTAGTGCTCTGTAACATACAAGTAGAAAATCCATATTGTAATAGCAATTTTATGACATGTAAAATAAAATAAAAAGAGATAAATACGTATGGAAAAATTTTATAAATTCTGAAAGTATTTTGTAAATAGAAACTTTTACTTTGATTTTTAAAAATCTTTCCCTCTAATTTCCTTTTTAATTCATTAAGATCGAATTATTGTGCGTACGATTTATAATAATTAATATACAAATAATAAATATTCACCTTCAGGTTGCTCCACCAATACAGGATTCCTCCTCCTCTTACAACAGATTATTGATCTGTAATATACAAAGAAGATTCAAATTGTAGCAACATCTAAAATAATTAATATTTCAAAAATTATTATTGTAAGCATTGAATTTTATGTTCAATGCATATAATAATAAGCATATTAATAAAATAATTCTATAAATTTTGAAAAAAGAACATTATTAATAATTCTCTAATAAATTTATAAAAACTTAAAACCTTCATAAGATTATAACTTTTATATAAAAATCTTTTTCTCCAATTCTTTCTTATTTAAATCATGTAAGTAAAAAAAATCAAATTACGCGATTAATTGAAACTTAATTTAAATTGCGCATAATTATAATAAATGTTTAATTATAATAAATGTTTAATACATAATTGAAAATAAATAAATTATTTACCAGAAGATTGCTCTATCGATGCCCGATGCCTTTCCTAGGCCTCCTCCTTCTCTCAGTTTTAGACGCGCGATACTTTTATCGATTCTCCCGCACTCACGTGCGATATTTCTATCGCTATTTCCGCACTTTTACGCGCGATACTAAACGGTTCCCGCACTGTTTCAGAGCGATTAAAAATTTTATATTTGGTCGCGCGATGTATATACTTAATACATATATACTTTGGACGGCACTCCCGGTTTCGGTATGAGCGAAAATCCCATTTCAATTACGATAATCATCTTCGAGTCAACAAGTCGGGAATTCAACGTTACCTCCGAAGTTGGGAATTCAACAACCTCCGAACTAGTTAAGTTCGAAACGGAAGAAAACTATCGATTGATGGAATCAACGCGATTGGGATTCACTCGACTCTTGTCTGCGCATAATACCCTATTTCATATCGAACGTGGATCTTCTAAGGCAGAATAGACGACGAAAGAATGAGGATACTCACATTTTTTGCTAACAATCAGCAATTTAGAAAATGGGGAAGCAACCTCTTTCGAGCGAAAATGGTGCCTAAGGAATCCACTCGACAAGGTCTCAATAGGTTACACACGCTGTTAGACGGCACAAGAGATCCATTAATGACGATTCCAAGCAATCGATCGAATTCTAATCGATTCGTACTGAACTAGAGCCCGAAGCAGAACGTGACCTCAATCAGCCGGACTTGAGCAGAAGCTGAAAACCGCGCACCCATGTAATAATACATAGGTACTGGACATACGTTCTACGCGGCTGGCATCACCTCATGCCACGACGCTCGAGGCGTGAGAACGTTGCAACGACTCAATTAGACATCCCGGTTAATTGGCATCGGAAAATGACAACTCGATAGCAAATAAATGAAACTGGGATTGCGAGAAAGTCCAACGCGAAAACGCGATGACGCGAAAATGCTAAACGCGATAACGAAACGCCGCCATCCGCGACACGTTGACGGCACCGACGATGGAAAGTCGACGACGGAAAGTCGACGACGCAACGTGCGTCCCACATATGAGTCATTGTGCGTGGCGATGCTGCGCAAATGGGTACTTAGCTTCCCCTTCAGGCTCCTTAAGGTTTATCTTAAATAAAAAAAATTTAAGATAAACCTGAAGGAACCATCCAAGTACTGAGCCACCCCACCACGTCAAGGTGTACCCGTGGGGGGTTGTATCAAATAAATTTATAATATAATATAATTTATATGATATAATTTATGAAAGAGAAAGAGAGAAAATTGTATATAAATTGTATTTTATATTGTATGTGGAAAATTTATTATATCATTCAATAATGTAACGGACCAAGAAAAACAAATCAATTATTCTGTTGTCAAAATATATTTAATATTTTATAAATGTGGATATAAATTATTTGTTATCTTTATTTTTAATTTAAAAACATTTTTTTTTGTTAGATTTCCGTATCTGATATAGCTTTTCCGATACTTTTTATTACGTTTCATTTAACTTACGTGACGTAGATTTTATGTTCAATGTTTTCATTATTTCCAGTTCCGATCATTTCATTTGTGTTCTCGTGTCGTAAGTAAGAGCGATGGAACTTTTTCATCAAAACTTTCTCGGTACTCTCTGACCATCGAATCTAGAAGAAGAACGCTGCTTTCATTCTTTTTTTACTTTCTATTTGTCTTCTCTCTCTGTCTTTGGATTTTCAGGTCTGTCTTTCCCTAGTTTGCCATTAAAGCACTTCTCAACAGTAAAAGTTTTCTTAAATAGACAAGAGGTAGGGTAGAGCATAAAGGATTAGACAGATGGTAGTTTTATATATACATATACATACATACATACATATATATATATATATATATATATATATATCATTAAATATAATGTAAATAAAATTTTGGTTAGATAAAAATATATGGTCATTTTCGAAGATTGTATAGATCGAAGATTGTAGAGAAATTTTATTAATGAACAAAATATTATATGAGTTGTTCAGCGTATGAATATTGATCGAATAATAATAGCGAATAATGAGAGCTCGTTCATGTCAGTGTATTTTCGTTGTAGTAAGACACACATGAGATTCAGCACGCTGCACTACCATATTGCCAAACACGTAGACATGTATCGTTATTTTTTACAGCAAAACATGAGAATAAGAATAGCAACAAAATTTGCACGTAAAAAGCTTTATAATGAAAATATAAAAGATAAATGATACAACACAGTATGTTAATGTCAACACACACACACACACACACACACACACACACACACACACACACACACACACACACATATACAATTACTTTGTGAAATTGTTCCATTGATTGATATCGCGGATTAAAAGTAGGTAGTAGTATATTTTATGCGAAAGAATTTACATATTATTATGACTTGACTTGATGTCAATGTAATTGTTACATTTTGTTAATCGTTCATAATACAGCGGCTTTATTGTGTGAAAGCAATGCTAAATCATTCAAGTGGTCATTGAATGCGATCACAGACTGACGAGGTATTCGTTTAACTGAGCAAATCATATCCACTAGTTGCTTGTTTCTCGAAATCATATTTCCGTAGTTATAACTAACTGCATACAACGAATGTTTCCCTTCTGGCTTATTTGGCATCCGTTATATAACTCGATTGTCACATAGAATGGATACGAGGTATCCCTATCATCGACAAATCGGAATATCGGCAATTAGTTTTGTAAATCCTTGTATCATATTTGCAATGACAATTATTGTATTTTCTCCGAAAAAAATTCGAAAAAATATTTCCTGCATTTATATTGATAGTTTAATAATGCGTAATGCACGTTTTTTACTTTACTTTAATTTTGTGTGAAAAAATATGAAGAAATTTTCATTTATTTTTAAAGCAAATATTGCAATTTATTTTACACTTATATTAAATGTTTGCTTAATCTCTATCTCGAACTTTGTAGCGAAATTACTTTACTTTCTCTATCTCAATCTCGATTTGTATGCAGAGAATAATATCTAACTTGTACATCAGTGGGACTTGAAAGACTGAAATATTCCGATAGAATTTCATCTTGCGGGTTTTGGATTATAAGCACAATGTGGCTGCCTAGATTGCCCGTTAACGAACAGCGAATAGCGCTCCGTAAGGATTTACATCGGTATTTGCGAGCATAGTCAACATTGCTCGCAATATTATTGAATACTAAATACTTCACTCAACCGACGTGACTGTAAAAATCATCAAGTAATCCAGAAATGAAATTATTTGACAAAATGTGTGGGCACGCGTGTGTATGTGTGCACTTAATTGTATGAATAATATTTATTTATAAATAAAAAATGAGAATATTTTATATATCAATAAAATTAATTATGCATATTAAAAAAAATAAATTTTAAAATACAGAAATTTGATTGTTTTGCATTTCTAGCGTATTCTCATTTTTTAAATTATCTTATTTATCTTATTTAAATTTTGATAGGAACCTTCCGCGATACAGTTCTAAGACAAAAGTACAGAGATTCTTTATTTTGATGTTTTACATGGAATTTTATACATTTGATTATATATTGTTGAAAAACCAGAATAACTATCCTTGAGCAAAGAGTTAAATCTGCGAGTTTGTGTCCTATTTCATTGAACTATATTTCGTTTCTTCTGCTATTATGGATACAACTAACAGCTGGCGAAACACTTTATTATTCAAAATGAAACTTTCGATCCGAATATGGGTCGTGTGCACCTGCTTCGCGAGAAAGCGAAATAGATAGCAATTCTACGTGAATTCATTACTCGATTGCAAATTATTCAATTCGTACCAAGAAGCGACATGTCCTAAGGCGGCGTTAACTACAATTAGTACATATTTCATGACTACTCGTGTCGTTTTTCAGTTATCGGCATTTCAATTTCTAAATATAAATTTCTCTCTTGTGAGAAGATGAAATAAAAAATTATATAAATTAAATTTTGTAAAATATAAGAAACAGAATATAAAAAACAAGAATCTTTACTATGTAATGTTAAAATATATGTGTTTATAATCTATATATATATATATATATATATATATATATATCTGCATATATGTATATACATGTATATTATTATATATATATTATTATATATATAGATAATCTGAAAAAATGTTTTTTTTTGTTTTTTTTAGATAGAGATATATCTAAAGATATATCTATATATATAAAAAATTACGCTTATGTAATTCTGGATTCTGTGGATTAATTATCGAAGGTTAAGTATCTAAAATCTCCAGCTCCTCCAAATTCGTAATGGGCTTTTTATCGAGAATTTGTGCAGTGCTGTATGCTCGGTAAAGCTCTCTCAAGCAAGGAAGAAAGCAGGCTTTCCCACTCGAAAGCCTGGCGATACCTTCAGTGGGATGGGCAGGTTCTTGGGTTAAAACTTGGTAATCCCGCTCCAATTATTTAGGCTAATAGCGAAAGTTTCGCCAGCAGTCGCGTTAATTAATTGGCAAATAGTCGATTCTCAAGTCGAGCCGTTTTTCCGGCTCGATAGATCTTCGCTTTCATTGTGATTTTGATTAGCGTGATGCTAATCCTCGAATAAATTCTTTACGTTTACATTTTCTGTCGCGGCTTTTGTTCTCCCATCAGAGGTCAATGTAAAAGTCAAAATCTCGTACGTTACTTTTCTTTTTGTTGTAAAATGCATGACATCTTGTATATATAAAGTTTTAAAACTACAACACGTCGCCTCTCACGGATTTTGATAAATGCCGCTTTATGTGCAAATGAAGTTATGGGCACTAGTTGAACATACTCTCCCACCGTACTTTATACGAGAATCGTGTCAAAACGCTGCCGTACCGCCATGAGCAAACAGTGCATTCTCTGTGTTATCCTTTCCTTCATCTCCTACTGTGCAATGCATAACAACGGGAACTCTACGTCTCAAGATGCAATTGTTTGCTCAAGGTTCGTTGCCGCAATTTGTTTCGCTGTCACCTGTCCATAATTTTTCACAGAATAAAGCGCACGCTATTCTGGGAACAATAAATCTAAGAAAAAAACGTGTTTAGCTTAGAAACGAAATATTATAATTTCGTATTCTGTCTATTGCAGATAGTATAACTAACAATTGATATGTAAAAATGTCCCTACAAGTTTATCTTTAGTATTTGTGATTCTTATACATTTATATATTTCCTTGATTTATATTATTTCATCATGTAAATAGCGTCAAGTATGGCTGTTGACTTTTCGTTTCTTATGGACATTAAATGTCTTTATGAAAATATATCATGGAAGAATCCAATGACAGCAAAGTAAGCTGATTTATGATTTTACTAAACACTTCTTTGATAATAAAATAACTTGCAATCGTAAATGTTTAATAAAAGAGAAGATGAGCTTGATTGAATAAAACTGTGTCAGATTGTCAATATTGGAATCTTCTATTAAGTATACACAAACAAATCAGATGCGGAGTATTGTAATCTTTTTCGTTGAGTAGAACGATCAACGAAGGATAAATACGGCATGAAAAATGCGTATAGCGGAGAAATACTCCTCCTCAAACACATTCAATAATTCCTGAATCCTTTTGAAATGCGCGCGATAGGATTTACTTCGTCTCGTCTTCTTCCTGCTCGCTCCTTTTCATCTTCGTCGGTGACGCAACGACAGAGGAAGCTAAGTTTAGTCCTTCTTATGTATTCTCTTGCTGCTTACCGGAGCAGTCCCCGAACCGAGAGCTATAACGAAATATATGCGTCGGATCAATTTTGCACGAGACTTTCAGGATCTTTCACGACTTTTGGCGTTCCTCTGTAACCCTCGGCGCGATACAAAAAGACACGAAGAAGCAAGCGAGTGACAACTGTTTGTCCTCTTTGAGACGCGCAAGAGAGAGTCGATGCATTATTCAGCGAACGCGTATCGAGCGTACCGGATACGGGAAGCGTTCCTTATTTTTACAAACTCTGCTTGCCCGGGAGTCCGGCACAGTGGTGTGAATTTGTCGTGTAGCTGCATGGACGCCCGTATACATCGATCGAGGTATCCGACAGAGATTAAGCGAAGCGGAAAATTCGAAGGACGTGCATTGGCGAATAACGCT